GGGAAAGAGCAATGAGTAGGCCTGAAGGGAAATGATACCTGAAAGAACCTGAAGCATGCTTCATGCCCCACGAAATCTTAACCCCTTGTGCCTGACTTTAGGATTATTGAAATTCTAATTACGCTGCATCACAATGTTTGGTTAGACATTTTTCTTAATTTTCATCAATTTTATTTCAAAACGTGCTCTATACTTTGAAAAAGAAACCCAACTGTTACTGTAGCAGACCGAAATTCCAAGCAACCGAGCTTCCAGCTCTCAACACCTGATGAACGCTATCGCACCTGCAAAACAAGATCAAGCACCAACAACGACAAAGCAACAACAGATCAAGTAGAACAAGACACAGAGTTACGAGTTCAGATCCAAGCAGTGTGCTTGGTCCTACGTCTCGGGAAAGGCCTGGGTCGTTTATTGCTTTTAGGGTTTGCGGGATTCAGGGAGCTTTTACAATCGTCAAGAACTCTCTCTTCTCTAAGATCAAGAGAACGGAAAAATAAAACTGCACTCTGCTTTTTCACACAATTCCCCTGAACATATACACTTAACACTCTTGCACTCCATTTACCAGATTGCCCCGGAGTTGTTAAATCAGTAGAGCTCCAAAATGCGACGTCGTCTTCAGATCTTTCAGAAACCTCTGCTCGAGTCCAAGGCTTCTATTCTCAGCTCTCTACTAAGGTGAACTTACAGTGTAAATTGCAGATAACTTCTTCAAACCTCCACCTTCTCTGCAATTCCTTTTAGCCCTTCATTTCCCAGACCTTTCTTCATGACCCTTCAATCACCCGGTCAATCGTAGCAGACTCAACAGTTTGTTGAGCTTGCTAACAGGAATCGTTTTTGTTAACGCATCTGCTGGATTATCATCTGTATGAATTTTCTGTACATCAATCAGACCTTGCGCAATAACATCTCTGATGAAATGTAGTCTCACATCGATATGTTTAGTTCTCTCGTGATGAACGCTGTTCTTGGACAGACTGATCGCGCTTTGAGAATCGCAGAATACTTTCACTGAACTCTGCTCATATCCGAGTTCCTTAAGCAAACCTCCTAACCAGATTCCTTCTTTTATGGCTTCTGTTAGTGCCATGTATTCAGCTTCCGTAGTTGAGAGGGCAACAACATGTTGCAGGCTTGATTTCCAACTGACAACGTTCCCACCAACTTGAAATACGTAACCAGAAACAGAACGTCTCTTGTCGATATCTGCAGCATAGTCGGAGTCACAGAATCCGCGAACTTCCATATCTGAACCCTTTCTGTAGCATAGACTCTTCTTCTGTGTACCTTTTATGTACCTGAGAACCCATTTGACAGCCTCCCAATGATCTTTATTTGGATTACTCATGAACCTACTAATGACTCCAACAGGGTATGCTAGGTCCGGTCTTGTCCCAATCATAGCGTACATCACACTCCCGACAGCATTTGAGTATGGTACTGTTTCTTTGAATTCTGAGTTGTTCCCGTCATCAACCTTGTTTGCAGTTAATCTGAAATGAGCTCCGAGAGGTGTCTGAACCGATTTTGCCTCAGTCATAGAGAAGTTTATCAGTACCTTAGCTAGGTACTCTTGCTGTGACAGAAGCAGCTTGCCCTCTGATCTGTCTCTGAAGATATCCATGCCTAGAATACGTTTTGCAGCTCCCAAATCTTTCATTTCAAACTCGGAGCTCAGAAGTTTCTTCAGTTTCTGGATCTCTGCCAATTCCTTTGCCGCTATTAGCATATCATCAACATATATCAAGAGATATATGTAAGTTTGATCTGCTAGTCTTTTGAAGTACACACAAGGGTCGAATCTACTTCTTATGTAGCCAATTTTCTGCATGAAGGCATCGAACCTTTGATTCCATTGTCGCGGTGATTGTTTCAGACCGTATAGCGATCTCTGAAGCAAACATACCATGTGTTCTTTTCCTGGTTCCTCGAAGCCCTCTGGTTGATACATGTAGATTTGCTCATCCAGTGTTCCATGCAAGAAAGCGGTCTTCACATCCATCTGCTCCAGTTCCATGTTTGAATACACCACAAGTGATAGTAGAATCCGTATTGAAACATGTTTTACTACAGGCGAGAATATCTCGGTATAGTCCACTCCCTCCACTTGCGAGAAGCCCTTAGCTACCAATCTGGCTTTATACCTTGGCTCTTCAACACCTGGAATCCCGGGTTTCTTTTTAAGTACCCACTTGCAACCTATTATCCTTTTCTTTTCGGGTTTCTGAACCAACTTCCAAGTACTGTTCTGATGAAGAGATTTCATTTCATCCAGCATAGCCTGTTCCCACTTCATCCAGTCTCTTCGTTTCTTTGCTTCTTGATAGGTTTTAGGTTCTTCAAGCTCCATTTCATCTGCTGTCATTAGTGCAAAAGCAACTGTTTCTGCTTCCTCAAATCTGCTTGGTACCTTTATGTCCCTTCTTTTTCTATCTCTGGCCAACATATACTCAGTCAAGTCTTCATCTTTTCTGATTTCTGGACTTTCTGTTTCAGCCTCAGATTCTGACATTTCTCTGTTCAGTTCATTCTTCCTGGGTTCTATTCTTCTGTTATGAATGTTGGTCTTCTCATTAGCTCCACCTGGCTCTTGACTCTCCTGGAAATCCAGTATAGGAATGCTTGCCATTTTTGGACTCAACTCATCTTTAGAGTTTGTCTTCGAGTTTTCAGAATCCTGCTGCAGATCTTTGTATACTTGTAGCTCGTTGAATCTCACATCTCGGCTAATCACACATCTTTCCTCATCTAGGAGCCAGATCCGATACCCTTTAACCCCTTCAGGGTATCCCAGAAAAATTCCCTTCTTTGCTCTTGGCATGGTCTTGCCTTGATCAGCATGTACATATGCTATGCTCCCAAATCTTCTCAAATGGATATATATTGGGGATTTTCCTGACCATCTCTCTTCTGGTACTTCAAAATTAAGTGCACTAGAAGGAGATCGATTTATGATGTAGACACAAGTGGCTGCAGTTTCAGCCCAGAACGTTTGTGGTAGTCCTGTCTCTGCTAGCCAGCTACGGACCTTCTCCATAATGGTCCTGTTCATTCTTTCCGCAACACCGTTCTGTTGAGGAGTGTAGGTACATGTCTTGTGTCTCTGAATGCCATGTTCTTTGCAAAAGTTATCAAAATTCTGATTGCAGAACTCTAATCCATTGTCTGTTCTGAGTGTTCTAACTCTTTTCCCTGTTTGTTTTTCGACCAAAGATTTCCAAGTGCAGAACTTTCCGAAAGCTTCTGACTTGTTTTTCAGAAAATAAATCCAAACCTTCCTCGAAAAATCATCTATGAATGTTATGAAATATTGGCATGAAGACAGTGAACCTGGCACGGTTGGAGATCCCCACAAGTCTGAGTGGATGTACTCAAGTATTCCTTTGGATGTGTGTTTCCCTGTTCCGAAAACCAACCTGTGTGATTTCCCAAAAATACAATTCTCACAGAAGTCTAATGCTGAAATCTCATTCTGAGGAATGTAACCTTTCCTTGCTAATAGGTCAATACCCTTTTGGCTCATGTGAGCCAATCTACTATGCCATAGTGAGGTCTTGTCTTTTAGTTCATTTGACACATGAGTCTCTTCTGTTATTGTCTTGCCTTCCATGACATACAGACCTTGATGAAGTTTTGCTTTCATCACAACTCGGCAGCCCCTCATCACCTTAAGTGATCCGTTCTGTGACTTGTACCAGCACCCTTGATTTTCAAGAGTTCCCATGGAGATCAGATTTCTCCTGAGTTCAGGTATGTATCTTACTTCTGTCAGCAGTATAGTCGATCCATCGTGGGCTTGTAGCTTCACTGTTCCAACTCCTTTTATGCAGCATGTGGCATTGTTTCCCATCATCACTAATCCAAAACCCTTTGGTTCGAATGAGGTGAACCAGTCTATTCGGGGTGTCATATGGTATGTACATCCTGAATCGAGTATCCATTCTTCCCTCACATCTCTCTGACTGATGGACAATACTTCTGTGTAATCTGTGAGCTTGCTATCTGATAGTTGTGGTTCTGGTCTAACTGCGGATGCTTCTCCTTTTGATGTTGAGTGTCCTTCTTGATCCTTCTTCCTTGAGCGGCAGTCCTTTCGAAAATGACCTTTCTTTCCACAATACCAGCAGTCGCCTCTCGTTCTGGACTTCGACCGAGATCTGGGTCTTCTATTTCCATTGTTTTCTCTTCCTTCTGATCTGCCCCTAACGTGCAAACCCTCTGATCCTCCTTTCGATGTCTTGCCTTTTGCCATTAACTCCAGTTCCTTCGATCTAGCAGCCGCTTTCACTTCTTCAGGGGAAATTGAAGTTCTGGAATATTTAAGCACTTCCCTTAGTTGCTCATACGGAGGAGGAAGAGAATTCAACAAATACACTGCTTGATATTCATCTTCCACCTTAACCTGTAGATTCTGAAGGTCTGATAACATTCTCTGAAACACATCAAGATTTTCCTCGATAGTTTTTGACTCATCCATTCTGAAACCTGACAACCGTTGCATGAGATACATCCGATTCGGTAAAGATTGTTCCAGGTATAGTTTCTCCAACAAATTCCATATCCCAAAGGCTGTCTTTTCTTGGATCACCTTCCTCAAAATCTGATCTGAGAGACACAGAACAATCAAGTTCCTTGTTCTTCGGCTTCTTTCGGCTCTGAGCTTCAGGTTCTTGATTTGTTCTTCCTTATCAGTAGATCTTCCACGTCGTTCATCTGTCTGAGCCGTTCCTTCTGAAGAAATTGAGCTGGAGACAGTCGAAGCTGTAGGCGTAGACAATACATCCATCGTGATTCTTTCTGAATCTTTTTCTGTCAATTCTTCCGATTCCCAGTTCTTTGGATCATCAACCAAAGTCTCTGAAAGACCCATGATTTCAAGCCCTATCTGAATCTTCTCTTTCCAGAGAACGAAATCTCCTTTACCGTCGAATCGTTCGACATCTAGCTTTTGCATTTGAGCAGCCATACCAGAATACTATTGCTTTTCGATCTTCGCTTTTCTTGAACCCCAACCGGGCTCTGATACCACCTGTTACTGTAGCAGACCGAAATTCCAAGCAACCGAGCTTCCAGCTCTCAACACCTGATGAACGCTATCGCACCTGCAAAACAAGATCAAGCACCAACAACGACAAAGCAACAACAGATCAAGTAGAACAAGACACAGAGTTACGAGTTCAGATCCAAGCAGTGTGCTTGGTCCTACGTCTCGGGAAAGGCCTGGGTCGTTTATTGCTTTTAGGGTTTGCGGGATTCAGGGAGCTTTTACAATCGTCAAGAACTCTCTCTTCTCTAAGATCAAGAGAACGGAAAAATAAAACTGCACTCTGCTTTTTCACACAATTCCCCTGAACATATACACTTAACACTCTTGCACTCCATTTACCAGATTGCCCCGGAGTTGTTAAATCAGTAGAGCTCCAAAATGCGACGTCGTCTTCAGATCTTTCAGAAACCTCTGCTCGAGTCCAAGGCTTCTATTCTCAGCTCTCTACTAAGGTGAACTTACAGTGTAAATTGCAGATAACTTCTTCACCAACGTTTTCATAAGGAAAAGTATGTAAACATGGATTACGAGACTGATGACCTATTAGGTAATACGATTAGGGGCCATTAACATGATATCATTTCGCAAAGCAGTGGCGAAAAAGAATAAAGCAATTTTGGACCATTCGAGTCTTGAAGAAAAAAGCCCATCAGCACGTAAAGCTAATATAGGCAACGATAATGGGCCAAGAAGTAATAGGCCCATTAAGAATGACCCACAAACAGAAACCAAAACCAAACAGGCGCTTTGGAAGTAGATGAAGAAGATTCAGCAGCTCCCATACCGTCATATAATCGGGGTTTTAGGGTTCGTCAAGTAAACTTGCCATGTTCATCCTCGCGAAAGCATACTGCCAACACATGCCCCATAACATCCCTTTTAACCATTGCAGAGGACCTCCTAACCTTCAAAACCCCATTTCTCTGTTCGCAATCACATCGCCATCGTCGCCGTCTTCTGTTATACCCGCAGACCCAAACCCCCATGACTCCATCAATAAGCCCCAATTCGGTCACTTCGTCATCCCCACCATCGCAATCGCTGCTTCTGCTTGGTTCTTCATACGTCTCCACCGAAGCCCACCAATCATCACGGCTCCGATCGATTTGCAGTTCGAATCGGAGGAAGAAGAAGAAGGTGCGATCAAAGAGGTCCCATTGAAGCAGAAGCCGAATTACGTGCGGGCACTTCACATGTACAGAGTCAAGCAAGGGACGGTGGTGAAATTGATCGAAGTATATGAAAAGAAGGAGTACGAGGCGTTGAAGGAGAGGATAAGGACGTCGGCGGAGTGGCTGGAGAGGGCGAGGAGAGGGCTGGAGGAGGTAGTGCCGAGAGACCCAGGTCGAGCGAGGGAGTACTCGCAGGTGGTGGAGGAGTTGATGGAGATTCTGAAGGAGATGGAGGTTTACATTGAGAAATGCGAGAAGGAGAACGTGAAGGGGTACCTGAGACCGTGCAACAGGTTGCTTTCTCGTGTCAGGAGAATGGAGGCTCAGATTCTTGATGTTCTCAAAGAGTTTCAGGACAGTGGAGGAAGAGGGAGGGGCCAAGTAAGATAACTCGTTTTCTACTTCTCTCAAACATTTCAGGCCAAGTTTTCGCTATGTAACACAGTTGTTGCAGTGATGTTATATATGCACATCGTCCTCGTCTTTCAACAACAGTTTGGATTCCTTTACAGTTTATAAAAATCTGTATATATTACTCCGATCCTCTTCCAACTCGGTTTCAAATCCTCAATTACATGATGTGGAACCTGGAAATCGTGCTGCTGGACGCATTGGCCATCGTGAAAAAACAGCGTGCAGTGCAGGCTCTAGCCGATGGAACGGGAAGGCGTGCAATAATTCTTACAGGGAACCAAAAACTCTAAGCGATTCAGAGGCTCCAAACATGCGTACCTCACCAAATGAACCGAGCCAAGCCAACAGAGCAGAAGCTTCATTCGGATCCTTTTCTTCTTCATAAGCCGCCCAAAAAGCCCAGGCTTGCTTCATGGGGACGCCGTGGACCAAATGTAGTGGGCCAATATTTTTCATATGAGGTGAACTACGGCCCATTCCATTATATTTTTTTGATGGGCCAGGCCCAGTCTTATCATAGTTAATGAAATTACTCGCTTTTGATTTGTTTGAGTTGATACGGTGTTTTTACGTGGGATGGGCGACAGAGGTTTCGAAATCATCTCGTTTTAGGTATTCGTTATCAAGATGTCGAAGGTCTTTGAATCGATGAATGACATGATGCCGGGTCGAATAGGATTAGGAGGAGGAAGAGAGTGGCCGGGGCAAGTCACCGGACGGTCAACACCCAGAGAGACTTCCATGGAAACAAATCACCGCCCCTGGTGAAGGTCCTTTTCGTCATTTCATTTATTAAAGAAATCGCCGATCCGAATCTCTCCTTCCACCTCCTTGTCTTTGTTTGCATTTGCTCCCACTGAAACTCACTTCCTCTCTTCTCGCCATCTCCTTCTTCATCCTCCTACGCTGACTAAGCTGAGTCGACTCGTCACCGGTTCTCCATTAGTTCCATAGGAGGTCGTTCTCTTGACTCTCCAGATCTGAGTCGGTGTCTCGCTGAAATTGCCATCACTCGGGAATGGCTTCTACGGAAGTCGATTCCCGCTTAGGCCGAGTCATAGTCCCAGCCTTAGAGAAGATCATCAAGAACGCATCTTGGAGAAAGCACTCCAAGCTCGCTCACGAGTGCAAATCCGTCATTGAACGTCTCAGATCGCCGGAAAAGCCTTCTCCCTTGTCCGACTCCGAATCTGGATCCTCCGTACCCGGTCCGCTTCATGATGGGGGAGCCACCGAGTACTCTCTCTCCGATTCCGAGATCATCCTCAGTCCTCTGATCAACGCCTGCGGCACCGGCGTTCTGAAGATTGTCGATCCGTCCCTCGATTCGATCCAGAAGCTCGTCGCACATGGCTACGTTCGTGGCGAGGCCGATCCCACCGGCGGACCTGAGGCGCAACTCCTTTCTAAGCTCATCGGATCAATTTGCAAATGTCACGAGCTGGATGATGAGGGAATCGAGTTACTGGTGTTGAAGACTCTCTTAACTGCTGTAACTTCGATATCCCTGCGGATTCATGGCGATTCCTTGCTTCAGATCGTGAGGACTTGTTACGGTATCTACTTAGGAAGCAGAAACGCGGTTAATCAGGCGACGGCGAAAGCCTCGCTGGTTCAGATGTCTGTTATCGTGTTCAGGAGGATGGAGGCAGATTCATCTACGGTCCCGATTCAGCCGATCGTGGTGGCCGAGCTGATGGAGCCGATGGACAAATCTGAATTGGACCCATCGACGACGCAGTCCGTTCAAAGCTTCATTACCAAAATTATGCAGGATATTGATGGAGTGTTCAATTCCTCGAACCCCAAGGGGCCGTTGGGCGGCCACGATGGTGCCTTCGAGACTTCAATGGCTGGGACTGCGAATCCTACTGATTTGTTGGATTCTACCGATAAGGATATGTTGGATGCCAAGTATTGGGAGATCAGTATGTATAAGTCGGCCCTTGAGGGAAGGAAAGGAGAGCTTGCTGATGGAGAAGCGGAGAAAGACGATGATTCGGAGGTTCAAATTGGGAATAAGCTGAGGAGAGATGCATTTTTGGTGTTCAGGGCGCTTTGCAAGCTGTCCATGAAGACGCCTCCTAAGGAGGATCCAGAGTTAATGAGGGGGAAGATTGTGGCTTTAGAGTTATTGAAGATTCTGTTGGAGAATGCCGGTGCTGTCTTTAGGACCAGCGATAGGTTTGTTTTACTTTTTTCCCCCTTTGCATCGTTTTATGCTCTTTTGTTTGATTTGGTGTTTTAATATGTGAAATGCTATGGCTAAGTTCAGTCTTCTTTCCCCGAGCGTCTAAAATCGGAGGTTGTTAGTTCATCTTGATCATTTTGGTGAGGCACAGTCATATTGTGCTCTGCGTCAATGATAAATATAGCTGTCCCATATTTCTCGTCTCTTCTCTTTTTAGAAGGGAGGCTTTAGAATTATTTAGAAATGGTTGCACAGCTGGCTCTGCTTCACTTGACTACATGGTCTCGTAGTTGGATGAACACATAGGGGGTTACTCACTTTGCATTGTTCTTCAGAATACTCACTCGGTTCTTTTCTGAGTTTCTTTTATTTGCTTTGTGAGGAGTGTGATACAGTTATTTATATATTGCTGAATAATTGGCATCAATTTCTTTCGGTGAAACAGGTTTTTAGGTGCGATCAAGCAATACCTGTGTCTCTCATTATTGAAGAACAGTGCTTCAAATCTTATGATTATTTTCCAGCTTTCATGCTCCATTTTACTTAGCTTGGTTTCAAGATTTCGGGCTGGGCTGAAGGCAGAGATTGGAGTGTTCTTCCCTATGATTGTTCTCAGAGTACTAGAGAATGTTGCTCAACCTGATTTTCAACAGAAGATGATAGTTCTTCGGTTCCTGGACAAGCTCTGTGTTGATTCACAAATCTTAGTAGACATCTTTATCAATTACGATTGTGATGTCAATTCGTCTAACATATTTGAGAGGTACAACTTTTCTTCGTGTACTAAAACATAAACCTTCATTTGTACGTAGTAGTTACTTTGGTGTCCTTAGCTGTGCTCAGTGCTATGTGTTGTTAACAGCTAGCGTCAACAATTTTGCGAACTTTCCAAAGTAATGTACATATCTTTGTCTGTTATATGATCTTCTTAGGATGGTCAATGGTCTCCTGAAGACTGCCCAAGGTGTGCCTCCTGGCACAGTTACAACGTTATTGCCACCTCAGGAATCAACCATGAAACTTGAAGCCATGAAATGCTTAGTGGCTGTATTAAGGTCAATGGGAGACTGGGTGAACAAGCAGCTGCGCCTACCAGATCCTAATTCAGCAAAAATGCTCGAAGGAGATGAGAAAAACCCTGAAGAAGGTAGCCATCCAATGGAAAACGGTAAGGGGGATGGGAATCTTGAAGGTTCAGAGCCTCAGTCTGACTTATCCAGTGGGACTTCTGATGCTTTGGCTATCGAGCAGCGTCGAGCATACAAGCTTGAACTTCAGGTAAAGATACAAATACGGTTTGGTTGGGATCATTTTTTTTATAATATCTGTCTGCTTAAATCTGATTTGATGACCTCAATGGCAGGAAGGTATTTCTATTTTCAACCGTAAACCTAAGAAAGGCATTGAATTCCTAATCAAAGCAAACAAGGTAGGGAACTCACCTGAAGAAATAGCAGGTTTCCTTAAAGATGCATCTGGGTTGAACAAGAGTTTGATAGGGGATTATCTCGGAGAAAGAGAAGACATGTCTCTGAAAGTGATGCATGCGTATGTGGATTCGTTCGAATTTCAAGGAATGGAATTTGATGAGGCTATTCGAGCCTTTCTTCAAGGCTTCAGGTTGCCAGGAGAGGCACAAAAAATTGACCGCATCATGGAAAAGTTTGCTGAGCGTTACTGTAAATGTAATCCAAAGGCCTTTTCTAGTGCTGATACTGCTTATGTCCTTGCTTACTCTGTCATTATGCTCAACACAGATGCTCATAACCCTATGGTGAAGAATAAGGTGAGTATTTCAGATGGAGATCCTTCACAGAACTTCGCCGATACTTTCTGATGAAGATCATAGTTTAATCTTGCTATGAAGCATGATGTTCAGTGCTCATTTATCGTGTTTCCGTGAAAAACTTGCAGATGTCAGCTGATGATTTTATCCGAAACAATCGTGGTATAGATGATGGAAAAGACATACCTGAGGAGTACATGCGTGCTTTATATGAAAGGATATCTAGAAATGAGATAAAGATGAAGGATGCTGATTTGACTGTGCAACAGAAGCAGTCAACAAATTCAAGTAGATTGCTTGGCTTGGATGCTATTTTGAATATAGTTGTCCCTAGACGTGGTGAAGACATGTATATGGAGAGCAGTGATGATCTTATCAGGCATATGCAGGAGAGGTTTAAAGAAAAAGCTCGCAAATCCGAGTAAGATTTTGCTCATGCTTTTTTATTCGCTTTGTTGTGTAGTGGTCTGTTTTTGGATGTTTGTTGAATTTCTTTGCATTAATCTTCCTCCGTGCTGTGTTCATTTTATGGTTTAGTGGTTGCTTTTTTGGGACTTTGGAGTTGATCAGATTATCGTTAACCGTTAGTGCTCTTATTGTCTGGTCCTGTCAGAGTCCATTTCCAATTTGTGCATCAGTTTCAAACTTGGTTTAATGTAAACAAGTGTTTGTTGTGGTTTCTGATTTTCCTTCTCTCTTGTAGGTCAGTTTATTACGCAGCATCTGATGTGGTTATACTCAGATTTATGATCGAGGTTTGTTGGGCTCCTATGCTGGCTGCTTTCAGTGTTCCACTTGATCAGAGTGACGATACAATAGTTATAACGCTATGTCTTGAGGGCTTCCATCAAGCTATCCATGTCACTTCTGTAATGTCCATGAAGACACAGAGAGATGCCTTTGTGACTTCACTAGCAAAATTTACTTCCCTCCACTCTCCTGCTGACATCAAGCAGAAAAACATTGAGGCCATAAAGGTTGGTGTTGGATTTTTTTCTCAACACTTATTATATGTCGTAAGGTTTATAAAATTTTGGAAAAATCTCAGTCTTGCAGAGTTTTAGTCTATGCTGGATTCATTTTTTGTTTGTTTCCCACTGACAGGCGATTGTCAAGCTTGCAGAGGAGGAGGGCAACTATCTACAAGATGCATGGGAGCATATTTTGACTTGCGTTTCTCGGTTTGAGCATCTTCATCTGTTGGGGGAAGGCGCACCTCCGGATGCCACTTTCTTTGCATTTCCCCAAACCGAGGCTGGGAACTCTCCAAAGCCTAAGTCAAGTTCTGTTCCTGTTCTTAAAGAAAGGGGACCTGGGACACTTCAGTATGCAGCCTCTGCTGTAGTAAGGGGTTCATATGATGGTTCTGGTGTCGTGGGCAAGGCTTCTGGTACAATGACGTCTGAACAGATGAACAACCTGATTTCTAACCTAAATTTGCTAGAACAGGTTGGTGACATGAGTCGCATCTTTACGCGGAGTCAAAGATTGAACAGTGAAGCCATAATTGACTTTGTTAAAGCCCTCTGCAAAGTTTCTATGGATGAATTGAGATCTCCATCTGATCCACGTGTCTTCAGCCTTACAAAGATTGTTGAAATTGCGTAAGATTTAAATTTTTCTTTCATTAGGTATTTTGTGTTAATGTGGAACGTTGCTTATGTCTACTGTTTTTGATGAAATGGCAGGCACTATAACATGAATCGCATAAGGCTCGTCTGGTCTAGCATCTGGCACGTGCTATCTGATTTCTTCGTGACTATTGGTTGCTCTGACAACCTCTCAATAGCAATTTTTGCTATGGATTCCTTGCGCCAACTGTCGATGAAATTCTTAGAGAGGGAAGAGCTAGCTAATTATAACTTCCAGAATGAGTTTATGAAACCTTTCGTTATCGTCATGCGCAAAAGTGGTGCTGTTGAGATAAGGGAATTAATTATACGGTGTGTCTCTCAGATGGTTTTATCTCGGGTGAACAATGTCAAGTCGGGATGGAAGAGTATGTTCATGGTAATGATCTGTCCCTACTCGGTCTTTTTTTTTTCTCTGTTCCTGATGATAAATCTGTTTATCAGAAGTTGTTTTCTCATGCAGATTTTCACCACAGCAGCTCACGATGCCCATAAAAATATTGTATTCTTGGCCTTTGAAATGGTTGAGAAGATTATCCGAGACTATTTCCCGTACATTACTGAGACAGAGACAACCACCTTCACAGACTGTGTAAACTGTCTTGTTGCCTTCACCAATAGTAAATTTGAGAAAGATATCAGTCTCCATGCCATTGCTTTTCTGCAGTATTGTGCGAGAAAACTTGCTGAAGGTGATATCGGTTCATCATCAAAGAAGAATACTCCATCCTCTCCTCGCAATGCCAAAAACGGGAAACAAGATAATGGAAAATTTTTTGAAAGCGAAGAGCATTTGTATTCTTGGTTTCCCTTGTTAGCTGGTAAGTCAATTTTGCATTTCTGTTTGGTGCTTGTACTTTTCAACTTTCTAATCTGGTTCTTGCATTTAAAATCAACTAAACTTTTGGCTATAGTTGAACTTGTGCGAAGGTGTTGTTTATATAGTTCTTCTTGTCTTCCGTGCAGGCCTTTCTGAACTTAGTTTTGACCCGAGACCAGGGATTAGGAAGAATGCATTAAAAGTGCTGTTTGATACATTACGCAACCATGGTGACCATTTTAGCCTATCCCTATGGGAAAGAGGGTTTGAGTCGGTCTTGTTTAGGATTTTTGACTACGTGCGTCATGACGTAGACCGGTCTGGTGAGGATGCTTCTGATTGGGAGCGTTACACTGGTGAGCTTGACCAGGAGTCTTGGCTATACGAGACTTGCACATTGGCTCTGCAGCTAGTGGTGGACCTTTTCATCAGTTTCTACAAGACTGTCAACCCCCTTCTGAAGAAGGTTTTAATGCTTTTCGTAAGTTTGATAAAACGTCCTCACCAAAGTCTGGCCGGTGCTGGTATTGCTGCGCTTGTGCGTTTGATGAGAGAAGTTGGTCATCAACTCTCCGATGAACAATGGCTTGATGTGGTCTCTTGCATTAGAGAAGCAGCAGATGCAACTTCCCCAGATTTCTCGTATGTTCTTAGTGAAGGCTCGGCGGATGTAGGGCATGAGGATGAAACAAGTGATAATCCAGACATCCTGAGACGAAATAGCCAGCTTCTTGCCGCTGTATCTGATGCCAAATCCAAAGCTTCTGTTCAAATTTATATAATTCAGGTCAGCCTTTCCGTGTCTACTCTTCTTTTTTTTCAATTTGCCATATTTTTCGTGTGATGAACACGGCCGCATAGTTTCCTTTTTTTCTATTGTTTGCTAAATGGTGACCAATTAGTTGTGATGTGGAATATTATCATGAACGGTTTTTGGAAACTTATCCATATATCTTCTAGGGGTTCCTCCAGCTGATGAGAGCATATTACTCTTTATTTTTGGGTGGTGGTGGTTGCAGGCGGTGACAGATATCTACAACATGTACGGGACATCACTGTCAGCCAAACACATGTTAATACTGTACGATGGGATGCACAGGATAGCATCCAACGCTCACAGGATCAATGCTGATCCTGTCTTACGTTCAAAGCTCCAAGAGCTTGGCTCCGTGCCAGAATCCCAAGACCCTCCTCTACTGAGATTAGAGAACGAAGCTTACCAAACATGTCTAACCTTCTTACATAACCTGATATCAGATCAGACGACGAGCGAGATTGAATCCTACCTGGTGGGTCTGTGCAGAGAGGTACTGGAGTTCTACATAGAAATAGCAGGTTCAAGGGGCAAGGGTGAGTCGGGCTGGGGAGTAGTGCCATCAGGAACAGGGAAACGGAGGGAGCTGACGGCACGTGCACCGCTGGTGGTGGCGGCCATCCAGACAATAGGTAACATGGGAGAGTCCATGATGAAGAAGCACATTTTGGAGTTTTTCCCTCTGGTTGAGACATTGATAAGCTGTGAGCACGGTTCCAATGAGATTCAATTAGCCCTGAGCGACATGCTTCAGTCATCAATAGGACCTGTGCTTCTCCGCTTCTGCTAAGACCCGTAATCTCCACATATACATCCCCCCACCTTGTTTTTTGAATGGAAAAAAAATACGTGCGTCATTAGCTTTTGCCTTCTGTCTCTCTTTTTTTAAATCATCTTCTTGCATTGATTGTTTCTCCTTCTCATTTGATCATGGAAGCTCCATCTCACTGGCTTTTGCTTTATTTTTTTGTTTTTTTTTTTGGATTTAGATGTTTGTACATTTAGTGAGTCCCAGTTTTCGTGTTTTATAGCTTGCATGATAAGTGAGGGAAAGGAGAGATGATGCTTAATAGGCGGAATTTGGTTATGATGTATGTGTTTTTATAATGCGTATTTTGTCAGTGAAGAGTAACCATTGTTAACTAAGGCTTTTTGTGGAGTTGAAAGAATTTTATGATTCCATGAGATTTGAGATCACGAAAAAAAAGGTATGAAAGCCTAACAGCTGCAGCTGACGTTGCCTTCATCGCAATACCCACGCGAGGATAATATGGTACTACAATTGTTTATTGCGGGGACAAAATGGGGAAAAGGCTTTTACAAAATATAATTTCCTTGGGCTAGTTTGAGGGGCCCTTCCTTGTACCAAACCCAACTTCGACAACGGCGTCGTTTAGGAATAGGGGGCCCAGACGACATTTCCGCTGTCGTCTGCTGAAAAATCTCGAACGAACAAAGAAGCGCCAAAAGACGACGGAGAAGAAGAAATTGACAGCAAACGTCTTGAGGTTTTGGATTAGGGCAACGACTTAGAGAAGTGCATCGATGGTGAAGTCTTTTTTTTTTTTAAAGTTGTTCTTCTTTTGCGTTTCTCTCACTCCTTTTCTGCTGTTTCTTCTTCTTCTTCTCCGTGCAGTCTGTTACTCTGCACACGAATCTCGGCGATATCAAATGCGAGATCTTCTGTGACGAGGTCCCTAAAACTGCTGAGGTTAGTCCCTTTGTTACTTCATGTTTTTTCGTTTCGATTAGGGTTTCCTTTCTTCTTTTTTCATAATATATACTTGTTTTCTGTTCATAAAACCAGTCGCTTTGATTCACCGATGAGGTGAATCATTATGTGTTTAGCTCTATTTTCGGATGATAGGTTGCTGCTCGACTCTTGGATTTCTGGAATCCTTAAGCTAAAATCGGAATTGTCTAACTGCGGTCGTCTGATATTATTTAGTTTTCTGGATTAGAGTTGAAACAAAGTCAATTTCTTGCTTCAGAGATCGAATTATGGAAATACGTCAGTTCAGTTCTTTTTTCCCCCATTGAGTTGGCTGCTGAGTCCTGAGTGATATCTTTGATTGTGTATTTTGTCGATTGGTTCTTGATGTGATTATTTCTCGTGGACATTGATGGAACTTGTAGATTGCATTGGCCAAACTTGTTGAGTTTTGTATGGTGCTGATAATGCCCCTTATTATAGTTGATAGTGGAATTTGTTTGGGTGCAGAATTTTTTGGCTTTATGTGCTAGCGGCTACTATGATGGGACTATATTCCATCGGAATATCAAAGGATTCATGATTCAAGGTGGCGACCCTACTGGTACTGGGAAAGGAGGAACTAGCATCTGGGGCAAGAAATTCAATGACGAGATACGAGAGTCCCTCAAGGTATATGCTTTGTTTATTAACTAGGTTTGGTTTGTTTAATCCGGATATTTCTCAATCTGTCCTCTTTTCTCGTAGTGAGACTCGTAAGTCGTAATTCTGCTCTGCGGTTTTAGTTCACTTTTATTGAATGATGCTGTGAAATGATCCATGTTACCAGTAACAACATTAGAAACCTTTTGAGTTTTGGAACCTTTGGTGTACCCACTCACATTTCTTGTTTTCTTCCAGTTAGTCCAATTATTATTAGAACCCATATCTACAGCAATGTGTTCTTGACAAAATGATCAAAAGTCTGCCTTAAGCAATATAGAAGAGGAATTAAGGTGTCAATACAAGCCACACAAAAATAGTTGGAGTGGTGGAGCAGGAGAGAAATTTATCTATCAAGGAACTAACTTCTGCATTCACAGAATGTAGCGATATGTGATTGTTGTGGATGCCCATATCCTGAGATGCGTTAGATGCTTGTTTGGATTCTTCTGTTTTATGGAAAGGTGTAAACCTGTTGTACTTGTATTGTGCAGCACAATGCGAGGGGGATGCTGTCGATGGCAAACAGCGGACCTAATACCAATGGAAGTCAGTTCTTCATAACCTACGCAAAGCAGCCACATCTCAATGGATTATACACCATATTTGGCAAAGTGATTCATGGATTTGAAGTGCTCGACATTATGGAAAAGGTAAAGCATTGCCCTTTTTCTACTCCCCCTTGATACTCAAATCTGTGCCTACCCTTTCTAGTAGGAGCAGTTGACCATTCTCATTTCATACGTGCAACATGTCTTTGATGCTTTGGAATTAGGATTTGTTAAGTCTATATGTAAATGTGATCCGTCACCCAAACTCATGCAGACTCAAACAGGAGCAGGGGATAGGCCACTTGCAGAGATCAGGATCAACCGTGTGACTATACACGCCAATCCACTAGCTGGTTAGCCCCTTCTTTTTTTTTTTTTTGTCTTTCTTGAGGGTCCTAATAATAATGAAAATGTCGAGTCTAATAAGATCCTCTAGTGTATGTTGTTCATTCTTCTCCGGCTTGATTTGGATGCTCGGTTACTTTTTGAAGCTAAAAAAGAAACCCAAGGTCGATCTAACCCGGCCCATTTACGTTTTGGGCCAATTCATGGGTTATTTGTTATTGGTACAATGGGCATCACAGCTTTTCAGTTGAATCTGGAGTACCATTCATACCCCAAATTAGAGGGCCTTACGGACCATGGGCACGAATTGATCCACCATGGCAGGTTCCATTTTGACCGAAAGGTTTTTTAAAAGAAAAGGGGGTGGAGTTTGCTCTAATATGAAAGGTATTGGAGAAATTACGACGTCGTTGGATAGTAAATGTAGGGGAGGAGACACGACAATGATCACATCCATCCATCTTATACACATATATCCTTAGACCGTGTCAGTGATGGCAAAATTGGTTCAGTTCATATGCTTATTCGATCTTATAATCAAACATACGTGGGAGGGAGAGAGGCTTGATTTCAGGGTATAAACATGGATTGGAAATCTTTGAAGCTATCACAGAAGAGTCCATAAAAAGACCAAATTGCTTGAATTACAATTCAAGGGAAAAAGATAATCATCAATTTTCACTGAGGAATCTTCTTCCTAACATCCATTTCCATGATAAGACCGATTAAATATGCAGAATCGATGCAGTAGAAGCAAACCGCACATCTTCCTTCTAAGATACCACTCCACTCACCCTTTTAAAATCTACATAATGTGATGTGATCATCCTCTATTAAATACATGGCAATTCCTCAAAACCGATATATGATTTTATGATAGAAGGATGCATATATAACTTACCTAATCCCATGGCAAGACACGCATCTTCCTCCTGTCTTCTTCTTCTTCTTCTTCTTTGGATCTCACCTGCACTTGTTTCTTCCACTTGTAATGAGCATGGTGAAAAGGTATCAAATCAGAATCCGTTTGTTCATATGTTAACGGCCTGCATATATTCATTGACGAACTGGTACATGATCTTTTTATTGATGGACGGTAAAATAAAATAAAAAAACATGAAGGATTTTTACATCGTTTACATGGGAAATCAAGCCGATAACAAAGATGAGGCAATGAAGGCGCACATAAATATTCTGTCGTCGGTGAAACAAAGGTATGGCGATGGGCGGTGAGCAGAATCATTCTCCTTCTGCTCTCTTTGTGAGGTACATTATCATTATGTACTTGTTAACTAAATTCATTGGCATTGTAATCAACAGCAGCCAGAAGGAGGCGAAAGAAAGCATGGTTTACAGTTACACCAAGAGTTTGAGCTTCAATGCTTTTGCCACCAAGCTTTCTCCAGATGAAGCTGATCAGATGATGGGTATTTGTTTTTGTTTTCGTTTCCGTTTTATATATGTGTATATATATATATATATATATGCTACATGTTTTCTATGTACGCACACACACACGCGTATATATGTTATATATAATCGATATACGAGCCCATGCAGCTTTCACACGATTAGTTCAGAGCTTAACAAAACGGCGTCAATGAAAACGCTGACTTTCAGAGATGGAAGAGGTAGTGGGTGTCTTCCGAAATCGATATCATAAACTCCACACGACAAAATCATGGGATTTCATCGGACTTCCTCAATCGGCAAAAAGACATCTGAATATGGAAAGAGACGTCATTCTCGGTGTCTTAGACACAGGTTTGTTTGTTTAATATTTTTATAATTTCATGTGATTTGATTAAACAAGGGTTGAAACATATATAATATTAAAAAGGAATAACTCCGGATTCGGAGAGTTTCAAAGACACCGGTCTCGGCCCTCCCCCTTCCAAGTGGAGAGGATCTTGCGGCCCTTTTGCCAATTTCTCCGGATGCAACAAGTACTCTCCCCAATCCCTTCTTCTTCTTACCATTTACTTTTGGAATTTGAGAACCTGTAATCGAGCTTTGTCTTGCTTGTTTGATGCAGCAAACTGATAGGGGCAAAGTACTTCAAGCTCGACGGATCCGATCCACCGGAGGGAGAGATCCTCTCACCGATCGACATCGACGGCCACGGCACTCACACTTCCTCAACCGCCGCCGGCGTTCCCGTCGCTAACGCTAGCCTCTTCGGCCTCGCCAATGGCACTATCCGCGGCGCCGTGCCCTCCGCCAGGGTCGCCATGTACAAGGTCTGCTGGTCCACCTCCGGCTGCTCCGACATGGACATCCTCGCCGCCTTTGACGCCGCCATCCACGACGGCGTCGATGTCGTCTCCATCTCCATCGGCGGGCCCCTCGCTGACTACTCAACGGATTCGATCTCGCTGGGTTCGTTCCACGCCCTGAGGCGAGGAATTCTGACGGTGGCATCCGCCGGAAACGATGGCCCGGACCTAGGGACGGTGACAAACCACGCGCCGTGGATATTGACGGTGGCGGCGAGCGGCATGGATCGGGCGTTCAGGAGCAGAATTGATTTAGGGAATACTCAACGGATTCGATCTCGCTGGGTTCGTTCCACGCCCTGAGGCGAGGAATTCTGACGGTGGCATCCGCCGGAAACGATGGCCCGGACCTAGGGACGGTGACAAACCACGCGCCGTGGATATTGACGGTGGCGGCGAGCGGCATGGATCGGGCGTTCAGGAGCAGAATTGATTTAGGGAACGGCAAATCCATCATCGTGAGAGGATCAATTTCGTCAATGAGCTTTCGTTGAATCCTTAGTAAAAAGAGGATTAATCAAAATGGGGTGAATTGAATGCAGGGATCAGGGATAAGCATGTTTGAGCCGAAGGCGAAGTTATACCCACTTGTTAGCGGGGCAGACGTTGCCAAGCCCCCTTACGACAACACTTCTTCCATGTCTCACTCACTCTTGTCTTTTTTACTTTCTTACGGTTTTAGCTCTTTTGTCTGCAAATCATATAATCTAGATTGTGAACGAACGCAGGTACTGTATATCCGATTCATTGGACGCCAAGAAAGTGAAGGGAAAGGTGGTGATGTGCAGACTAGGGGGAACTGGTCCTGAATCCACTGTGAAGTCCTCCGGTGGGGTTGGAACTATTATTGCCGATGGCCACTATCTTGACAATGCCCAAATCTTCATGGCTTCCGCTACCATGATCAATACCTCCCTCGGCGATTCCATCGATAAATACATCCATTCCACCAGGTTGTTAATTTGACAGATGCTATGACTGTGTGGGAAAAAAAGTGTTTCATTTTTACATGCTAAGGGGTTTGTGAAGGGAAAGTTCTATCCATCTGATTGTGGAACTTGGTCTGGATTTATAACGGGCATGCATTTGTATGGCAAACTGTTTACCTTTGGGCCATCTGTTTATGGCAGATCACCATCTGCAGTGATACAAAGAACTCAAGAAGTGAATGTCCCTGCTCCATTTGTGGCTTCCTTCTCATCCAGAGGTCCCAATCCTGCCTCAAAACGCCTTCTAAAGGTACTTCAGTATTCTCTACAAATATGCAAGGGACATCGGTTTCTTGAGGGCTCTTTTGGTGATCAATAATGGGGTTTTGAGATATGGCAGCCAGATATTGCAGCACCGGGAGTGGATATATTGGCAGCCTTCACACTGAAAAGATCGTTGACGGGGTTAAAAGGTGACACCCAATTCTCCAAATACTCTATCCTGTCAGGTACCTCCATGGCGTGCCCTCACGTTGCTGGAGTGGCCGCCTATGTCAAGTCTTTCCACCCCAACTGGACCATTGCTGCCATCAAATCTGCCATCATCACCTCAGGTAGTAGTAATCTCTTCATTCCCTTCCTCAACTCTCTTCAAATCCCACTAAGACCTCTCTCTCTCTCTCTGTTTTCGCAGCTAAACCGATGAGCCGAAGAGTTAACAGCGAGGCCGAGTTTGGTTATGGAGGAGGACAGCTAAACCCAAGACGAGCAGCGAACCCTGGCTTAGTCTACGACATGGAGGAGATCTCTTACGTCCAGTTCCTATGCCGCGAAGGCTACACCTCAGCAGCACTGGCCAAGCTTGTCGGCTCACGGTCCGTCAACTGTTCCTCCATAGTTCCGGGGCTCAGCCACGACTCGCTCAACTACCCAACGATGCAGCTGGCGCTGAGATCGACAAAGGAGACGACAGAGGCAGTGTTCAGGCGGAGAGTGACCAACGTGGGACCGGCCTTGTCGGAGTACAAGGCGACAGTGAGGGCACCCAAGGGAGTGGAAATAAGGGTTGAGCCGATGATTCTGTCGTTTAAGAAGGCAGGGCAGAAGAGGAGCTTCAAGGTGGTAGTGAAGGCCAAACCCATGGCTCCTGGTAAGATGGTATCGGCCTTGCTCCTTTGGCAGAGCCCTCGTCACGTTGTCCGCAGCCCTATCGTTATCCACAACCCTTCTGGTTGATTGATGCTTTCACTTACAAATCAAATAAGGTAGCTTCTTTGGGACACACGAAATCGTGGGGTGCAACGGTGATTGAAACACCCCTCCCGTAGGAGTTTCCCCTCCGAGGAACTGCCCTGTATATCTTCATTAGCTTTTCCCTTTGAAAAACAAGGGTAAGGTATTATGTGATACAGTAATGTTGGCTTAAAAGTTAAGGGATATTTTTTTTTTTTGGAATTAAAATCTTGACAGAAAAAATATCGAATTTTTATTTTTATCAAACAAATAATAAACCAAATATTAAATTTTTTAAATGATCCAAAAAAATATATAAAATTTTATGCGATTGTTAAAAAATATTAACTTTTTAAATATTTTAAAAAATATATAAATTATATATAATTATAAAAAAATAAATATAATATCTTGACGATGTTTTAAATATTTTTTTAATAAATTTAAAAAGTTTATTATTTATTTGACAAAATAAAAAATTTAGTAATTTATTTGTCAAATTGAAAAATTTAATTTTTATTTTATTTTTTTCTCTTTTTTTGTGTGTGATAGCAAAAAGAAAAGCTGTAACTATCGGTCATCATATGTTGTAGAGTTTAATATCACACTTTAACAATCAAAATATTATGGTGTAATTTAAATAAAAACAACAAAATTGTAAATCTATATTCTATGGAAGTTGAATAAGAATGTACTTTTTTTTTGTAGTCATATGTTTGTGTGTGTATACTTGAAAAATAATGCTAACTCTTTTTTTTTTTTTTGCAAATAATGATTGGGTGTAGCTTGAAAAAAATGATGAATAGGAGATCACGCGTATAGGCGCCAATTATGATGAGGCTAATAGTGCGATCCCCATTTATGGTTTCACCTACCTTCTCCCCAACTCCCCCCACCTCCTTATGTTATAATAATAATAATAATAATAATAATAATAATAATAATAATAATAATAATAGTTAACTAAATGTATACCGTCATTTATACACACATACTCATATCTGTCGGTCCAACATTTCGTTTTTCACCAATCTCGTGATGACCCTTTATGCGGCTTAAGAAGGTCATTCCACCACATCCTCATAAAACCCATCCTTTTTATGAAAAAAAAATAAAGAAGGAAAGAAAGAATCTCAAACCATTGATAATGGAACAACAAATGCCCATTAGTATGCTAAAACGACAACCAAAGTAAGAGACAAAGGATGCAGTAACTGAAAACGGATCGGCTCTAAAAGGCAATCGTCACTTGGAAATTAATTCACAAACAGAATTGCATAAAGAGAGCGGCCGTTACAAACACCACAGCTTTCTTCTTTCTTCTTTCTTCTTTCTTGCTTACGAGTCACATTTTCCTCAGTTTCACACACACACACACTCACTCACTCTTACATCTATATCTATATGCGTGTATCTTCTTACATGGGCATGGATGTGTGTATATATACCCCCAGTGATATCAACTTCTTCCATACTCCATGTTCGTACATCTATCTACGGCAACCCTCCGATGATGTTCCTCAGATCATCCTTCTCTCTTCTCTTCTTCTTCTTCGCATCAAATGCTCTGCCACAGAAACGAACTTATATAATACACACACATACAACCAAAGCCAAACACATCTATGCTTCTCTTCTCAGTGTCGTACAGACAGATGCCCCCAAGATTCACTATATTTACAAAAGCGCCATCTCCGGCTTCTCTGCAACACTCACGGACGCCCAGTTGGAGACACTCAAGAACAAGCAAGGGTTTGTGTCGGCTTACGAAGACGAGCTCTTGACTCTTCACACCACTCATTCTCACGAGTTCCTTGGTCTCGAATTCGGGATCGGCCTGTGGAATGTCACGAGCTTGGCTTCTGATGTGATCATCGGTGTTGTCGACACCGGAATCACCCCGGAGCACGTTAGCTTCCGGGACACTCACATGCCGCCTGTGCCCTCCAGATGGACAGGAATCTGCGAGAAAGGAACCAACTTTTCTTCCTCTTCTTGCAACAAGAAGCTCATCGGTGCCAGAGCTTTTTACAGAGGTTACGAATCCATTGTTGGAAGAATCAACGAGACATCTGATTTCAGGTAAAAAAAAAAAAAGGGTATTAATTTAGATTCTGTTGCAGCTCATTGGAAAGGTTTGATTTCAAACCCACCACTTACATTAGAGTATATGATGGCGGCAGATCGGCAAGAGACGCACAGGGCCATGGGACACACACGGCATCGACCGCAGCGGGAGATATCGTCCCAAAAGCGAGCTTTTATGGGTTGGCCAAAGGCTTTTTCGCAGCAGGGATGAGGTTCAGCTCAAGAGTGGCAGCTTACAAGGCCTGCTGGCAACTGGGTTGTGCCAGCTCTGACGTCCTCGCCGCTATAGACAGAGCCATTTCTGATGGTGTCAACGTCATCTCCCTCTCCTTAGGCGGATCTTCACGCCCATTCTACGTGGACCCCATCGCCATTGGTGCCTTTGGGGCCATGGAGAAGAACGTTTTTGTTTCTTGCTCTGCAGGGAACTCCGGTCCTTCCAATAACACCGTTAGCAACGGAGCTCCTTGGCTTATGACGGTGGCCGCCAGTTACACCGACAGGACATTTCCGGCAATCGTAGAGATTGGAAATGGAAAGCTGTTCGTTGGATCGTCCTTGTACAAGGGGAAAATAATCAAGGATCTGCCTCTCGCGTTTAACAGAACGGCGGGAGGTCCGGGAGCTGAGTTCTGCGTCAGGGACTCGCTCAAGAGAGAGCTCGTTGAGGGCAAAATCGTCATCTGCCTGAGAGGCGCCTCCGGCAGAACCGACAAAGGCCAAGAGGTAATTAGAGTTACTTTCTCCATAAACCAATGCCCAGGTTGAAATAATCACCGGAAATGTTGTGGTTGTTGTTGCAGGTGAAACGAAACGGAGGAGCAGCTATGCTTCTGGTGAACAGAATCACAGAAGGCGAAGAGCTTCTCGCCGATGCCCACGTCTTACCGGCGGTGTCTCTCGGTTTCTCCGCCGGAAATTCCATCCTTAAGTATCTCTTCATCGCCTCATCCTCTGCCTCCATCCGCTTCAAGGGCACCGCCTATGGTGCCACCGCTCCCATCGTCGCAGCCTTCTCCTCTCGTGGTCCCAGCGTCGCCGGACCTGAGATTCTAAAACCCGACATCTCCGCTCCTGGCATGAACATCCTCGCCGGTTGGTCCCCTTTCTCCAGCCCCAGCCTCCTCAGCTCCGACACCCGACGAGTTCAGTTCAACGTCATCTCCGGAACCTCCATGTCTTGTCCCCACGTCAGCGGCCTCGCCGCCCTGCTCCTGGCGGTTCATGGCGACTGGTCTTCAGCGATGGTCAAATCTGCGCTCATGACGACGGCCTCCACCACCGACAACAGGAACCGCCCTATTGGGGACATGGGTTCGGGACCCACCTCACCGGCCACCGCTTTCGCCCTGGGCGCTGGCCACGTGGATCCCACACGCGCGGCGGATCCCGGGCTGGTGTATGATATAACCGCGATGGATTATCTGAACTACCTCTGCAGCCTGAACTACACGATGGAGAGAATTGCTCTGTTTTCCAGGACGAACTACACATGTACCAAAGGCGTGGCCTTGAGATCGGGCGACTTGAATTACCCGTCGTTCGCGGTGAACTTCGAAGCGGGCGACCGGAGCAGGTTGACGTACAAGAGGACAGTGACAAACGTTGGGTCAGGGGCGTGTGAGTACAAGGTAAAGGTGGAGGAGCCACGAGGTGTGAAGTTGAGAGTGGAACCAGATGTCTTGAGGTTTCAGAAGCTTCGACAGAGTTTGAGTTACAGTGTCACGTTCCTCTCGGAAGCTTCCGCAACTTCTTCTTCCTTCGGAGCTTTGGTTTGGATCTGTGGGAACTACAGCGTCCGAAGTCCCATCGCCGCGACGTGGGACTGACTCATACACTTTCCTTCCTAAACTTTATAATTGACAAAAAAAAAAGGAAATCTTATCAATTTTAGAGGATGCTTTCAACATAACCTATAGTATCCAACCCAACAAAGAATTATAACGGAAAAGACAGATTTATTCGTTCAGTACATGAGAACCCAGAAATGGAAATGTCAAAGTTCTGTAAATCAGACAGCCTCTGTCTTAGCCACTCTTGATTCGTTCAAGTTCTTCTTCAACGTTTTTCAACTGCAAACGCAGTGTTTTTATTTTGCGTTGGAGCTCTTCTACTGTGCTTCTGCTCGTTGGAGGCTGGTATGGTGTCACAAAGTGACGAGAGGACGCCTTCAAGGCTTCAACACTTGCCCCATTGATTTAAGCACATCAGTCTTAACTCTACCTAACATGAAACATTTTCGATTTCAACCCTTTTTGCCTTCTTACCTCTTCTGGAAGCAGAGGGAGATTTGTGATGTTGAAGCCATCGTATAGCATATAAAACTGGTCTAGGTACTTTTGTTGCATCTGCATCCTTGCTTTAAGCAACTTTTATTCCACATCTAAGATGACACTAAATTTTATTAGTAAAATGGATCACAATCAGATGATGACAAGCAACCTGAGCACGTACCTTCCTCGTCGAATATTACTTGGTTAATGATTATGTTATGCGTGTCAATCTCAAACTTGGTGAGTTCTTGAAAGAGTCTCTCTGTTTCATACAGAGATAAAAACTCGGGGATGCAGATGCAGACAAATGTCGTCAAATCCTGAGTAATGGAGCAGTGTTAGCAATTTCAATCCAAAGAGAAAATGTAGTGTTTTTTTTTTGGAAAAGATAGAAAACGTTAGCCAAAAGCAGAGAAAAAGGTAGTGACGAAGTTACCGGGTCTTTAAATTGTCGGTTGACTTGTTCAATCACATCTTTCAAGCCCTCGAGTCTCCCTAAGAGAGCATCTTCACCAAACTCATCCTCAATGCCAAACATACGGCTCATCTGCAATAACCAACCAGTTTCACCGGAATGAGCTGATTCATCAAGCCACCGAATCTACTCTTTAAAGACATCAACTTTGAAAGCCCCTTCTCTAATGTAGAAGGAAACTGTAACAGCCGAAGAGTGTGTCCTGTCGGGGCTGTATCAAACACGATGGTTGAATAATCCATTGTTTGCACCAATCTGGAGAAGCATAAATGTGTCAAATCACGACTATGATCTAATGCATTGTTAAGCCAGGAAATATCTTTGGAACAACAAATCAATCAGTGCAATTTTTTTACTTCAGCATCTCTGCAAAGCTCATTGCCTCATCAATTCCAGGAATGGCATTTGCTAGGTCAGAAAACAAGCTGTCCATTCCTTCTGCACCTGTCATATCGTCATTTTCTACTGTAGGATCCACCTCCTGTGAAAGAAAATAAAACACATGATCCAGATAAGAAGGGATGTGAATACCGCATGGAGACAATATCCAAAATTCATAACACACACACGTTAGGAATAAACTGAAAACTATCAGAGACAACCGAGAAGAGATTGAGAAGCTCAGCCAAAAGAAATGCTATTACATTGAATTTTAGATGAGACGGTGAAATTCGATTCGGAAACTATGAAATTTTCTGTCAGACCTCAACTGAGGCCACAAGCAGTCAAGAGGAATGTCCAAATCTCTCCCAAAAACAAAACTTGACCTTGATGTTTATCCAAATATCAGAAATTCTAAGCAAAGATGCAATCATTGGGGCATTATGCAAATTTAGATCAAAGAAAGGCAATTGTGTAATCCAATTCAATTTTAGGCACCCTGAATTAACTATGGATACTGAATTCTAGAAATTCAGCACAAAAGAAGCCAATTGAAATTCCACCAAGAACAAACTCGGAGATAAAACTACGAATTCCCCCCTCCCCCTAAATCCAACCCAATCGAGAAAACCAGGGAAGCTTACCATTGCAAACAGGTTAGAGAACCCATTAACCAAAGTGGGCGTCTTGGTGAAGCATTACTGAAACGCATCGCTAAGATTGTGAGCTGGGTCGGTGGAAATGATCAGAACGGAGGATCGAACCCTAGAGAGAAGGATGGAGAGTATGGAACTGCAAGTCGTCTTCCCGACACCTCCTTTCCCTCCGACAAAGATCCATTTAAGAGATTCTTGGTCCAGTATGTTCTGGACTGTTCGGCCGCCATCGATGTCTTTCTTCGTCTCCTCTCCAAGCGTCTGGAGTTTCGGAGATGCGAGAGAGAGAGAGGATCTAATTGCCTGTTGTGGTGGGGTTTCGACTTGATTTGTCGGATCCCACTGGAAAGCGAAGGAATTTGTATTCGATTTTCATATTTATAAGCGTAGGGGCAACATCCATACAAAGAGACACCGGAATTTCGAGGTCAGATTTCCCTCTCACTCTCACTCTGTACATGTATCTTTTATTAACTCATCCATGAATGTATTTGTTTATCTTGGAGGGATCTGCTTTGTTTAATATTTCTATGTTAGGTTGATTTCGCTTATCTTTTGCTTGAAGGTCGTTAAATCATGAAAGTTTTTTCTATCAGCAAAGCCCGTCTAGCTCAGTTGGTAGAGCGCAAGGCTCTTAACCTTGTGGTCGTGGGTTCGAACCCCACGGTGGGCGTATTATCTTTTTAGTTCGGAGAAACTATTTTAGGGGCAATCTCGTCATTCGGATGGTTGGGAATCGTGTTTCTTAATTAAGCCTACGAAGTTACTGTAGGGGTCTTATCGAGTACCATGACCGTGATAACTTCAACCCTCTACTGCAATCCTCCTTCCCTCACTCGATCTTCGGCGACATGGCTGAACATAGCCAAGTCGGAAAATGTCTCCACTTCATACTCTCGCCGGAGCACGGCTGCGTTACGGTCGAGGGTTACGTGCGCCAAGAGCCCAGATGATTACCACGCCACCCTAAAGGCTCTCAATTCTAGAGGCCGCTTTCCCAGAAAATCCCTTGGCCAGGTTCTCTTCTCTCCTCTCTCTCTCTCTCTCTATATATATTTGTGCGTATGTGTGGTTCATACCAAGGAAAAAAAAAAGGATCTTCTCTGAGGAAAATGATCAAACAACTTGTGCGCGTCTTCGTATTTGTGGTGCAGCATTACATGTTGAATTCAGAGATCAATGAACAGCTAGCAGCTGTGGCTAATGTTAAAGAAGGAGATGTTGTGTTAGAGATTGGTCCTGGAACTGGCTCTTTGACCAACGTCCTCATCAATTTCGGTGCCACTGTTCTTTCCATTGAAAAGGTTCTGTACATGCCCATTCCAGATATTGATATATAGCCCTAGTTTGTTGAAAATGTGTATCTTACTGATCTTTCTTTCGCATCTAGTTTGTTCAATTTCCTTTTTGCGATGAAATGTGAATTATGTCTTCCACAAAACAATGGCGATATATAATTCCCTACGAGCCTTGTTCAATTCGCTTCTCCTTTTCTGGTAATTGGTCACAGGATCCTCATATGGCGGCCTTGATTGAAGAAAGATTTGCAGGTTCAGACAAGTTCAAGGTACTATGTTTCTTCTGAGAGGTTGAATTGAAATTTTGGGATCTATGGAATCTACATACATATGCGAAACTTCTTATCGGACGGGATACATTGTAGGTTTTGCGAGAAGATTTTGTCAAATGCCACATCCGTGCTCATATGCTTTCCATTCTAGAGCACAGAAGGTCATCAGATCCTGGTTTTGCTCTTGCAAAGGTGACGATTTTCTCCTTGGATAACTATGTTCTAACTAATCTATGTTGCCATACCAAAATCTTGGTGGCTAACTTACAAACTAGGGTTTTGATGTCATCTATCTCTGCCTTGTAAGAACTTGTAAGAACGGGTTTAACCGCTCTAAAACATGTTCAAGAAAATCACGTGCCATATTTCCCACATTCTCAGCTCTGTTTGACATATGTAGTAGCTGTTTCAAGGGGATGTATAGACAGTAGTGATCCTTATGTTCACTTTCACAGTCATACCAAGCACTTTTCAATACTCCTGTCCTGGTAAAGTGAAAATGGATAGCAGACACACCAATTTGATCTATTTTCATATTGGATCGAATTGCTTGCTACAGACTCTTATGAGCATATGATTTCATGAACGCCCAAAATAACTCTTTTGAGAGTGTCAGAAGTATGCTTCAAAATGACATGTTATTTGTGTCTACTGATGATTTCAGATCTCTGCAGGTGGTCTCAAACATACCTTTCAACATCAGTACTGATGTCGTCAAGCTTCTACTTCCCTTGGGTGATATCTTCTCAGAAGTTGTTCTCTTGCTCCAGGTAATCCAGAGGAAGCCATCTGATTCTCTTGTTCATTGGATCTTTCCTCTGTTGTTTATCTTTTGCCTCTTGATAGACACTTGACTGAAATCTTTTGCCTGATTTCAGGATGAGGCAGCGTTGAGATTTGTTGAACGGACATCCGAATACAGACCCATCAATATTTTTGTCAATTTCTATTCAGGTACTTGTTTCATGGTCATCCATTTATTTCCAACCCTTCAAATTCTGGGAATCATTAACTGGTGCTCTTTCTCCTTTAAAATCCCAATCCAGAGCCGGAATACAAATTCCAAGTTCCGAGGGCAAACTTCTTCCCTCAGCCCAAAGTAAGTTTCTAAATAGTTTGCAGATACAAACTGGACAGATTTGCAACTGGTCGTTTATCTGATAGTTCAAATATATTGCTAATTATCTCTGGTGCTTCTTAACCAATGACAAATGACACATAAATGGTATTCAATCTGACGCTGTCAAACATTTTATCACTTGGGGACTGGTAGGTGGACGCTGCCGTTGTAACATTCAAGCTGAAGCATCCCAAGGACTACCCAACTGTTTCCTCCACTAAAAGCTTCTTCTCTTTGGTAACATCAAACTCCTCTTCAATCTTTTGCATTTTGAAACACCTGAATCAAATTCCACACAACCCTTTTCTTCAAAAATGTCCAACAGGTAAATTCCGCATTTAATGGGAAGAGAAAGATGTTGAGAAAATCCCTCCAGCACATATCTCCGTCTCTTGAGATCGAGAAAGCTCTTGGAGATGCTGGTCTTCCAGCCACTGTGAGTACTCTCTGTATGCTGATCAAAACGTATACTCCTTTGATATACATACCAATGGAGCCTATTGTAGGATAGGATCCAAAAGTCAGCTTCTGAGGAAAAGGAGCTACCGATATTGCTGTATACTTTGGGAATGTGGGATAGTAAAGCAACTCCTAACCTTTTCTTTTGTTGTACTACAATGCAGTCAAGGCCAGAAGAGCTTACCCTGGATGACTTTGTCAAGTTGCATAATCTAATCGCGAGACAATAGTTTGCACAATCAAGTCATCGAGTGCCATATTGAACTTAAGATGAAACTGGAGCGGTCTGGTTTTGGTAGCTTGAGAATGAGCTCAAGCTGAAGCATGCACACCCAAATCACGTGACAGGCTGCATCCATGTTCTGTCTGTTTTTGAGTTACCTTGAAGCTCAAAAGCTGATGAGGCAACATCGTTGCGGGAACCATGAAGCTTAGTAGCACAGATTGATCCGACGGTTCTCGTGTCAGTACAGATTTCCAACCACGTATGATCGTAGGTGTAAGTAGAACCTCAGAAGCGTGTTATCTTAGATATTTTTGCTTCAGGTACGTACCATCTGTCTCTTTGTAATGCAAATTGCGTACTTGCAATGAAGTCTGCAAAATCGCCCAAAAGGAGGGAGGGTTCTTGCTTCATCTACATATATGTTCAGAACCACAGAAAAACAATCCTTGGAAAAATACAAAGAATGGAAATCATCCGTGAAACTGGTAGACAAGATCCAGGGCCCTCAACTTGGCGGCGTGAGGGTCAGAGCCAAACCTGTCGTCGGGGGATCCCATCTCCTCCGACGGCGAAAGCGGGCGCTTGACCCTCTTGTTCTTCTTGGTGAAGCACTCTCTCATCCTCTCCGCCACCTTCTCCACCGCCGCGTTCCTCTCATCCGCCTCCTCCACCAACTGCATCGGCTCGGCGGAGGATACACAGTTCCCGGAGAAGTCGGCGTTGGCGAGGAAGACGGAGAGGCGGTGGCGGGCGTGGCTGAGAGATGAGTAAACTTGGAGGAGCTGTGTCTCTTCCATGGCGGCTCCAATCTGCTTCGCCATGAGAGATGCTTGCTCCAGTGACGATATCAGCTCTGTCACTTCTGCGGCGTTTGCCATTCTTCGCGCTCACTTTTTCCAGAGTTTATCTGTGTAAGCCGTCGAGGAACTAAAGCTGGCTTCAGAGATTAAAGTCAGATGGGGTCTTGTCGGAGGAAGAAGATGGATGTCTGTCTGTCACCTTTCATAGTTTGGGCTTCTGATGACATTTTTATGTTCTGATGTGCAAAATGGGCTAACTGAGGCCCAAGATCGTCTTCTAGAAATTTGTTGTTCCATTTTTTATTTTCTTTGAGCAATAAAAAGATGGGAGACGCGAACGCTCTTCAAGTTTCTTAGACTTGGAGTCCACTCAAAGCCAATATCCGGATTCTCTGTCTCTCTCCGTTCCAAGTTCAAACTTCAACATCTCTCTATCTTAATCCCAATTTCCTTTTCTTTCTTTTTTTGATGTGATAGAGTTAAAAGCAGGATCAGAGAGAGTGATGTGGGAGTTCAGTATTCATATGATACCAACAATGATAGGATTCGGAACAAGCATCGGGTTCTTGGTATACGTCTGCACTCGCCTCGTTTGCACCAAAGCTCCTTCCTCCTTCCACCCACGTCCCCACTCTCCTCTCGACGTTGAACGACAGGTATTATCTTTTTTTTTTTTAATTATATCTCCGAGAATTAATTTCATATGATTCATAATTTCATACGCATATATATATATATATATATATACACTGCTCCTTTCACAACCTCCATGTTGTGGTTCTTATTATATCTTTGTGACATATATAGATCCGAAAATCATACAAATGATTAGTTCCATGCGCAGATGCCTACGGGGTTTGAACCGACTGTTCTGTCCGCCATCCCAACCATGAGATTTAATCGTGACGCATTGGTCTCTACAGACGATTCCCAGTAAGTTTGTTGGCATAAAAAATATATATATATTGGATGATAAAAGCTATCAAATGATGGGTATGGATAGGTGTGCGATATGCCTGGAGGAATACGAGGAAGAGGAGGTGATGAGGGTAATGCCGAGATGCAAGCACAAGTTCCACGCAGCATGCATCGACGTCTGGCTGCCCAAACACTCCACCTGTCCTGTCTGCCGCCTCCCCCTTCTCTCTCCCTCCCTTTAGTCTCACGTGTATGAATAGATGTGCAGGGTGCTCTCTAAAACAGCCACGTAAATAATGTGTTTAGTCATACCAAGGAAAAAAGTACGTCCGTGCATATCTCCGACCACAGGAAAATAAAAATCTTTGGTTTATAATTTTAAAAATATTGAATTATATGGTTATGGATAAACTTGTGGTCAGTATCTAACAACATACGTATAAAGGAAAGGAGAGTTAGCATCATAACTGGAAGAGGTATGGTATTAAATAATCGCAACATGGCACATGTCTTACCGATCCAAGGACGTTTACTTGCCCATTTTTTATTTTCAAATTTTGAATCTATATTATATTACCGAATTTAATATACTAAATTCACATATTCCCTTGTAGTCAAAACACAAAAACGAGCAAAGTTAAGCATATCACATGGAGGAGCACCAACCAAGTCTCAACAGTTTAATATTTCTTTTTGAATTTAATTAAATAGTCGTGGTAACATTTTATTTATATAACCATTATTATGAACGTAGGTTCTCACGCAGTGGCATGTCTGCCTGCCACGTCAAGATCGTTAGAGCATTTGAAATGCATACTGCGTGACCTCCGACAGAATCCTTTTTCTTTTTTTCAAGTAGAAATTAACTCTGAATTCAAATAAAAATATATATATATATATATCTAGATACTTTAATTAACTCTGAATTACCCCTTTCGATCAAATATGTACTTACTCGGTTCAAACGGCAAGCGAAGTTGGACCCACCACTGCCACGTCAGCTCGTCGGCAACGTTTAGAAATCTTGGAACAGGTGAATGGGTTCAAAATCAAAATCAGATGGAAGGGCGTACAAGAGATGAACCACAGCCGTCGGATCCCGAAAAAGTTACTGTTAAAAAGGAGGAGGAGAGGGACGTAGGGTCTCTTGGGAGGTGTCTCAGTGGCAGAGCCACCAGACAGATTAGCTTTTTTTCTACAGAAAATGGCCAAAAAAAATTATATAAAATAAACAATTCAAAGACTGAAGCCCTCTCTCTCTCTCTCTCTGGATCGAGTTCTGATTTGAATTCTTGTAATTATTTTAGCTGGGTCCAGCCCAAAAAAAAAAGGTGGAACAGGTGTTTGTTTGTAGCATTCGGAGAAGTCAGCAGCTGTCTGGATTTCGTTGTGGCGTTGTGTTATTTCGACTGCTCCTCCGTTACAAAACAAAAGAAAAAGGAGAGCATCTGGGGGTGGGTAAGTAAGCTAATTCATGGCATTATTCGTGAAAGCCACAGTTTATGTTGTCGTCTCGCGTAATTGCCCCATCATTGAAGCTGGAGTCATGGTAATTTTCCCTCTTCTGGGTTTTATTTTTCTGTTTCAAAGTACCAAAATTTTCATCTTCCAAATGAAACCCAGGGTATTCCACACTCTATTTCTGATTTCTGGACTTGACTTTCCCCATTTTTTTCCATGGTTTTCGAAAAGTTGCTCTTTTTTTTTAGCAAAAGATGAACCATTCGTTTGAGATTCTAAATCTGAAAGGTATATTCTTTGTGGTTCTTTACAAGAAAAGCTAAAGTCTTGAAAATCTAAAGCTTATGATTGGGTAGTTAAGAGCTTTGATCATATGGTGGTGCTTCTGTCTTTTCCAAGACTAAGATGTTAATATTCAAAAGATCAAGATTTTCAGTTTCTGGGTGAAACACCAGAAGATCTCATTTCTTGTGATTTAGAGAAGAAAAACGAAAGATTCTTATCATGCTTTTGATTTATCTCTTTTGGAAAGAGAGCAACAGGAACAAAAGATAGATTTTTTCTTTTTCCTTTTGAGATTCTGAATCTTAAAGGTTTGTTCTGTGTGGTTGATGTTTCAAGAAAAACAAAAAGAAGGTTGATTTCATCTGTTCCTTTTTTAACTTTCCGGATTTCTTTTCATTGGATATTATTAATTAGCTTCTCTCTTCGTTTAGGACCATAATCCATAATCCTATAAACATATGTCTTACTCTTGTCTCTGAAATGATCGCAGGTGTAGATCTGGATGGTGGATGTCAATGGAGGAATAATTTGAAGGCCAAGTGAACTACCCTGAAGGTAAAAATAAAAGATCCTCTGAGACGTTGTTGTGGATTACCCTTGAAGATTACTACAGGATTAGGCTGCAGTTAATCTGGCTCTCTCTGGACAAAACTTGAGAAGTTGTTTCTAATAGATAGAGACCCGCATTGACCTCTCTTCAAAGAAAAGTCTTCAGTTACTTTGATCCTCAGGCAGACTTTTTCTCTCTCAGTAACTATAAACAGAGACAAGATCTCTGAGTGCAGTGGCAGTGACCCCTTGGGTTGCAAAACGATCTGAGCCTTTTCTGAGGACAGAGAATTTCGTGGTGCTGATGTTTGGTGGGTTTCCGTGGCTGTGATCGTTTCCCTTTTGTATTCATATCGAATAGGGAAGCATTTAATGAATACCCATCTCCAAACCACTGCCCGGTGGGACACTGCATTCTCGTCTAGTTCTGTTGGATGTTGTTTTCAAGCAAGTTTTTTTTTTTGGGAAAAAAGAAAGCATTTCATAATCCAATTGATCTGAAGGAGTGGGGGGGGGGGGG